GGGTCACACACACTCACCAGCTGAGTATATTTAATATTTTCTCCAAAACCCACACATAAGTGTCTGCCTTTTAGTCAAACATTATCAGCAGTTTTAATTTTTATTTTTGGTATTTTTTATTTTACTTTTCTGTCTTTTGTTCTTCTGATTAAACCCGTTTTCCACCTTATAACTGAGAATAACACTCAGGTGGGGAGGAGAACAGCTGTAATCTCTGTCTCCTCAGTCCATCTCAGACCTCTAGTGGCAACTCTTGACCACTTAAGAGTCCTCAGGACCAGTCTTAACTTTTCTTGAGAGTAACAGAGTGATTCTTAGACTTAAGAATTTTGATAATTGACACTTACACTTAAGTCTGAGAGTAGGAGTAAATCTAAGAAATTTTCAGCACTTAAGTCTAAAAATCCACTCTAAGAAGTTTGATAAATACGGGCCCAGGTTCAACTAATCCTGACAACGAAGAAACTGGTTATCATAACTTGACCCAGGATTTTTTACTGAAAATGTATTCATGTAAAACAGGTGGAGATGCATCACAAAACCAAACAATCAAGAAGCTGAAGAGAAACAGTAATTAAAAAAGGAAAAACATAAAAAGAATAAGCTCACTGATACTAAAGCCACACCAACTGTATTATTTTAAGTGCATTTCCAACTCTGGTTTAAATGAGACAAACATACATAAACAGTTCAGTCCAGTCGGCAGGCTTTTTAAAAATATACCTGTCCCTTAATGCTGCAATAAGGGTTATAAAGCTGGGGTTTTAATCAGTCTTTGACACTGAAAAGCAGTGAATAGAAACAAACTTTAGGGTGGTCCGCTGTTTTATACAATGTAAGTATTCAATTCTTTGGATTTATCTCACCACTTTTCTCAAAGTCAAACATAATGATGCAACTGAGAGAAAAGGGAGGGGGAAAAGACACAAACACACATTTGTGGCTTTGTTCTTCATGTTTTTAAAGACACTCATTGGTTTAGAGCAGGGCTATTCAACTGGCGGCCCGCGGGCCAATTCGGTCCACCAATTAGTTCATTCATCTCTTAAGACCAAACCCCGGTTTTCTACTTCTACTCCAAGTTCTTTTAGTTGGACATAGACATGTTTGGTATCTACAGACATGTCAGAATCTTGGCTAACAAAATCCTGGCTTCTATGAATGTCCAAATTAAATCTACAAGCAGTTGAAGATAAAACTATGAAATTTAAAATAAAATTGGTTTCAAAATTTGGCAAGTCAGAGATGTCAAAATATTTGTGTTAAATGGGAGGCATAATGTGTTCTTTGTTTTTGATATTGTTTCATTATCACTACTTTTATTACATAGGGTTCTGAATGTTTGGCCCCTGTACTGCTGGCCTGCAGTAACTGTGGCCCCCAGAGCAGGTTTGTTGAGTAGCCCAGGCTTAGTGTGTTAATCTGCATAATTTCTCATTTAAAGAATTATGCCACAAACATAAGCTGCTCTGATGCAGGCTAAAGGTCCCCCACATACTCAGGCGTACCTCACTTCACAGAGATTCGCACCAACTTGAGGCGGACTCGAAGCAGTCGTGACCCGGACAGTTCCGCACAGAGATCAGTTTTTTATGTCAGCTGTGTCGCAAAATAAACTGCCCGGCAAGTTCAAGTCCAACTGTTTTGGTGCCACACCGAGTAGTTACAGTTGAGAATCGGTGTCATCTTGTGGATGAAAGAGTTAAATTTTGACAAATGTTGCACAAAGGAGATTTTGAAACATAGAAACTATAAACTGATACAATAATGAGGGAATATAAAGACCTTCAGAGAGCAAAAAAAAAAAAAAACTGAGGATAGCTCGGACCCTGGGTAAGTTAAGTTCTTTTCGTTTGTTGTTCTAAAGCTAAAACTAAAGTTCTCACTTCCTCCTCATCCGTTGATGTCATGACTGAAATTGTGAGAAATTAAAGAATTTGTCAGGTGATCAGTACGCTCGACTATGAAGTCTCAACCATTAGCGGACAACATGTGCAGAACCCGCACAGTTCATGGACAGTACAAAGTACACTCAGGTATGTGGGAGCCTCAAGTTTCCAGCATAATTTACCATGATGACAGATCCAAGTATGAAGTCAACCAGCTTTCTGAGACTAAAAATGTCCAACTAAACCTGAAGTTACCTCAATAAGCTAACAGGAGAAGTACAAACCTATGGTTTGTATGTTTTCAAAAAAAACAAACAGGTGACTTAACTACAGTGTGAAAAATTAAGACCACAGTTATGGATTTCTATGTCCTTATATGTGACCCATCATATCGAAATGACGATTAAGTTAAATTTGGTCAAAATGACCTAATTATATTTTCTGATTCCTGCTTTAAAAGCTACATTTTGATACCTGGATCATTCTGATATCACCAGCTTATCCAGAGATAAGATTTAATTTGTCTTGTTGGTTACTATAACACATTACTGTTTGGTCTGAATCCTAATTTTATGTAAATTTATTGAGTAAAATTTTTTGTCAATATAAAGAGCTCAAATATTATTTGTATATTTAGATTTTCCAGTTGGAAAGAAACAAGAACACTGCTAGCTCACAGGAAAAAATATCAAAAATTTAAGGCGTTTTTCCTCAAAATTAGTTTTTTTGTTGCTACTGCTCAAAAAATGCTTCAAAAAATTTTTTTAGGATTATATTTCAGACAGTTCATTCAAATGATACATTGATGAGGCATTAATTCATTATATTTTGACAAAATGCAATTTTTGCACACGTTTAAATCAAAACCCTATATCTGCACATTTCTCCACATTTCACTTTTGGACTTAATCGACATTTCGATGAGATGGGTCACAATTCACAAATAACAAAATGTAATCTTCTCTTACATCAAACCAGTGGCAGAAACTCTTGACCATGCCAGGCTGTGTCTCAAGTCACAGCAGTATACCTTCACAAGAGGGCGTAACATGCAGCTCAGACTGAAACTATTTGTTAGAGATCATTTAGTGAGGACAGCATGTAAACAATGTGTACATTTGGGATATTATAAAGTTTACATTCTGAAATAGCAAAGTACATAGTATATACTACGTCCCATAGTTCTAGTTCAGTTAATTGTTTTGTGTATTTTAATCAGCTGAATGCCTGATCAGATCCAGTGGCTAAAACACCGAAACAAAATGACTGATGTAAACAAAAAGTTTCTTTGCTTCTGAGACCCAAATGTAATCAGTTCAATATGATGAATTACAGGCTTTGTGTTACACAGTAGGTGATTTCTGGTGTTTTTCTATCTGTTGCACATTCATGCTGTCAGTTATTATAGACATTGTGATCTTTGACTGATTAAAAGGTGACACCTCATTCTAGCGGCTCTGCTCTACTCTTCATCGTTCCGCCAGCTTACTCAAAGGGAACGTGCCCAGTCACTGACTGGACGCCAAATCAACATGTTGACAACAAGAAAGCGGTTGTGGGGCTTGCATCCACCTTCCATTCAGACACGCTGACTTGACCATCAGCTTGGTGTTTAAAACCCATCAGACGTCACTCCAGCTTGAAGTTTTCCTGTGTGTGTGTGTGTGTGTGTGTGTGTGTGTGTGTGTGTGTGTGTGTGTGTGTGTGTCCAACAACTCAAACCTTCTCTATGAGCAGCTTCTTGCTCATGGTGATGCACTTGTTGAGCCTCTCCTTGTATTTCTCCAGGAGTTTTTGCTGTTCGTCAATCTGTCTTCGCAGGTCACAGTTGGCCTGTTAAAAAGGAGCCACAGCATGAAACAAACATGTCATTTAGACGCGCAACAAAGCAGGTACGAAGGACCGAGACAGAACTCACTCTGAGCAGGTCATCTATTCGTCCCTCTTTCTTCTCCAGGTCCAGACTTTTGTTGCTCTCCAGAGCAGCGAGTTTCAGGCCTGTCAGCTCCGTCTGGGAGAGAAAAACATAAAGTAACCAACATGCAAAGTACAAAACCTGTCCTGCTTTCTTATCCTCGTTGTTATACCTGGACACATTTGCTTAAAGAAGCTTTAAGACTGTGCTCTGGAAAGCACAGACTGGTGGGTGAGGAGCTATTCTGACGGATCTATGGACACAAAAACAAAAAAGGTAAAATAACTTAGGATATACAAGGACACAAATAATAATCAGGGTTCATGTATTTTTCAGTAAGTTAAATTTAAGACCTTTTAAAAACCTTTTAAGACCATTAGGAATGATATTTAAGACCGAACCGACGCATTAACAGAAACATTCAAATGGTCCCAGAAATGTTAACATAAAAACCTTTTATTGCTGTCATTTTAGTTATTAAAGAATATTTATTTTTAATACAAGAACACTAAATTATTTTAATGAAACGGTTATATCTATCAGACCACATTGACTGCTGTGGATCGCTTCCAACTGAGTGTAAAAATCACTGATTTTTGTCTGCAGTTCTCACAGGATTTGTAGTTCAACGCGTACAAAGACTGGTAGCAAACTAAGCACTTCACGAAGACAGATCACATCAACCTCTGATTACTTTGCTTTACTCTATGCAGCCAACGCTTCTCGGGAATGAATGAAAGTAAAGAAAATTAAGAATTGACAAAATAAAATTTAAGACTTTGGATGAAAATCTGGGTGTTTTTAAGATTTTTTTTAGGCCTGAAATTTTAGGCTTTTTAGGACCCTGCACGAACCCTGAATAATTAAGAAAAAAGTACTCACAATGGAGCCAGGAGCAGAGTGTGAGCTCTGTGGTGAGCGGCGAGCAGACGGGAGGCCTCGAACTGGACTGGAACCATTTCCACCCTGGAACTTTGCAGAAAAAAAAAACTTAACTTGAGATTTTCGTTCCAATGATCAGATTTCTGACTAAAATGGGAAAAAACTGCATTACTCACATCAAAATAGTCACTGATCTTCGGCCCACGAGTGGAAGTCTTCCCTGCACAAAATTGAATTACATGTAAGGGAAAGCTGGTAGGAAGCTGCATAGCCCGGATCCCACGTTCAACATACCTTGACTGCTCTCAGAATAGGTATCAGCTTTCCTTTTCCTGCCCCTGGACGATTCAGAGTGTTTCTTCTCTGGGGTCTGTGAATCGATATGAAACAAACAAAAAAAAAGTGTGCATAAATTGTTTTAGCTAACAAAGCAGAAAGCAGGGCTGGGCGTTGAACAGGAAAAGAGCAGGAGGAAGAGAGACTACATACAGAGTAAGCAGGAGAGCTCCCTCTTTTCAGATCAGAGTTCTAGGAAAAGAGAGGAAAAGGTGTAGGTGGGGGGACAGACAGAAGCAGGAGTGGGCTGTACGTTTTAATACTTTACCGTATGCACATTATAAACTACTCAGCCTGAATGTCTACTTGTTATATAATTAAAGGTTAAAGGAACGACTCTGTGTGGGTTTTACCTCTGACTCTTTGTCACTCGATGATCCCAGACTTCCATAGCTGTGGTTTGAGGATTCATTGGCCAGACCCTACACAGACAAAAACAGTTTAAGTACACAAATGAACAAACACGGCAGACGGTACAGAGGTGTGTTAAGTTCACCGACTTTAGGAAATGTACTCAGATAAAGCAGCACTGGGCCTCCTGACTGCCACGCCTGACAGGAATGCAGATTCACAGTGATTAGGTGTGTCACTTGGCCCTTCTCCAACTTATGAGCATTTCCAAGAAGTGCGAGTCCAGTTTTAGGAAAGCCGGAACTTTTAACCTGCTTTTCCACCATGGGAACCAGGGCTTGGTTTTATGACATAGTTTCAAGGTAGGACCTCTCTGACCGGTGCTGCTTCAAAACCAGAAACAAGAAAAAGCTCATCTTTTCTATTGTTAAAGCTACTGGTAGGGATGTTGACATCTCGTCAGCAGCTGCTGCCATTTTCTTCCCAAACTGCTGTGACCAGACTGTACAAGGCTGCTCGGTGCGTTTGTTTGTAATTTCCTCCTGCTTCGTTATTTCTACGAGTTTCAACAAACCGCGCTGACGTCAGGTAGTTAGCTACAGCCTCGTCTTCCAGTTTGTAATTTTTGTTGATGCATTTTGAAGAGACAATTTTTTGAAAAGAGGATCAAAGTAAATCACCCGAGTTTTTCTAGTGACCCCTTAAAGAGATAAGCTGCCATGACAAACATTATTTTATCTGCCCTTGTTCCAAATTTGATCATGATTTGAAACGTCGAAGTATTTTTAATATGGAATAGCGCTTGTTGCAAAGTGTTTTGATGCTCGTCTTCGTCACTTGACACATTTAACACGCTGCCATTGGTTGAGAAGCTTTGTTTACAAAACACATGTCCACATGGTTTTTAAATTGTTTTCATTTCCTTACTTTCTAAGTCAAATTAAGTTGATCTGATGCTGTAGTTTGCCTTGTAATGTTATTTTACACCTTTTCTTCTACTTTTGATTTGACTATTATTACGTTTTATTGGTTTTTTTAGGATACAAGATGCTTCCTACAAAAACCAGAATGTGAATCTTTTCCTAAAATTTCATGGTGATATTTTGAACACTGAGGAAGTTATGAGCAAAAATAGAAAACAGCGAGGTGAAATGGTCACATTGTTTCTGCTGTGAAGTGCAGCAAGAAAACATGAGCTGATTTCACCTGAACAAACATCAATAACTTCCCTTATACTTCAGATAATCATATGATTTTTGTGATATTTTGTTTGGTTTGAAATGTTCTTTTGGAATCCGCTGTCAGATTTAATATTGGTGTAAGATTAAACATTTATCCACATCCCTACTATAGGAGTTTTTAAATTTCTTATAGAAATAGAAACAATGTAGTCAGGAGGAAAAATAACTAAATCTGCTAAAGATGCGTATTTTAACTATAGGATTTCTGTGTTTGCGTCACAACTTTGAGTGGAAGTGTTTTTCTTTTGTGCTGCCGTTACCTTAGCACCTCCACTGGTGCTCCCCGTGCTGCCTCCAGTGTTGCCGCTGACAGCTCCTGTGAACCTGGCCTCCAGCAGCTCCTGTCTCCTGGGGTCCAGGCTGTGCAGCTCCTCCATTGGGCCTGGCGTGAAGACACACGTGTCATCATTCAAGACATTCAAGCCAGTGACAATAACCTGCAGCCCAATGACCACAACGATAAAACGGCAAGCAAGAACAACTACGCAAACGCACCAGAACGTAATTTAGAAACACTGGGCCTCATGCAAGAACATGTTCGTATTCTTATCCTAAATTTCTCTTACTTTTGTTCGTACAAAGGGTTCGTACGAACATGTCACGTCAGATTCAAACTATTCTATCTTCAGGAAAAGTGTGTAAATGAGCTGCGTAAATTACACGTTTTCTATCCAGCTGCTCGTGCACGCGAGAGGAGATTAGCATAATTACCACCCCAAATACACATATAAGGC